GCACCTCTACAAGTTTAGGAATTAATATTACTCCAAAATATAAGTTCAAATTTTTTTAGGGTTTTTGTGAATAAAATATAAGTATCTTTTAATTTCTAAATTGTTTTAGAAAAAATTATATTAAAAAGAATATAATTTCCGTCAGAAAATTTTGGAAAAAATGAAAGGGGGTAAATAACGTGGACCCACTAAACTTATATGCTTAATTAAGACATGCATTTTTTAAAAATATTCTCCAAGTAGAAACTAATAACATTGCCAAAAAAAAATCTCTAACATTCAAATGAATATTTTTTCAACTTTTATTTCTTTTCTCTCAGTTTGTGAATGAAAATAAAATTATGAACTGTTCTTTTGAATAAATATTCATTTATCGTAGAAATTATATGAAATTTAATATGATTTTCAATCTCGTTAGGAAACAGAAGGAGCCGACATACCTTCATCCTCGTCATCGTAATTATCCACGTCAAGTTCCTTCAGCCCATCAGCAACATCATCAACATCCATGGAAGAAGAGTTCTTACCGCCACGGCTAACACCTGAGCAACTTCATCTCCGGAATTTTCAGCTTCGCCATCTACACATACTTCTTCTTCTTCATCATCATTACTCTTAGCATCGTCGCCAGCAAAATACGGATAAATGTCAACAAATTGAACCACATCTAAGATTAATTGAAACGAAACAAGAATGAAAACAGGGGAATTCGGGAAGAGCTTAAAAAAAAACCTTCGATCAAAAGCGCCGTTCTTTATGAGCTCTTCGATTTCTTCCTTGGAAGGCCGATCCGACGTGGCGTGTGACGTGGCGCGCCACGTCGGATCGGTCAACTCGTTTTTTTGACCAAATAACGCTATGGACGAATATGGAACCGTTTAACAAGTTCAGGATTTAACGTGTTCAATTTTGCAAGTTTGGGAATTAATAGGCACCTCTACAAGTTTAGGAATTAATATTACTCCAAAATACAAGTTCAGGAATTTTTAGGGTTTTTTCCCTATATATAAACCCTAGGAGTTGTTGTTTAAATATTTCAGGTTCCGCGAGGTCTGAAAGGCAACAAGGGGAGTGTGTTTATGACAGGTTCTAGCCCTCGAACTGTATACGAGGCTTACTTAAATCAGTTCAGGAAAGATTTCTCCTTGTTTCTAAGGTCACGGTCCGAAGAGATGATATGTGATGGACGCATGGTTCTCACGTTAATCGGTAGAAACGCTCGTGATCCATTATACAGAGACTGCTGCCACTTCTGGACTTTGCTATCCAAATCCCTTCTCGATTTAGTCCACGGGGTACGTACCAAATTAATTATGCACGAATAAAGAGATCGACCCTTTGAGGCTAATTAAGAATAAACTCTCTAATTCAATTCGCATCATCATGTGACGTGAATATATGAATATATGACGACTACGGTGACAGGGAATTGTGAGAGAGGAAGAGGTGGATTCATTCAACGTTCCGTTTTACGATCCGGACGAAGGAGAGGTAACGGAGATCATCCGTAACGAGGGCTCCTTCAAAATCGGCGAATTAGAAACACATGAATTCGATTTGGGGCAAAGTCGTGACGAAGGGGATTACATGTTAGGGAGAGATAAGAGCGGAGAAAGAGAAGCCAACTGCATAAGGGCCGTAAGTGAACCGATGCTGGTCGCTCACTTTGGACAAGACATTATAGACACACTGTTCACAAAGTACGCACATCATGTCTCTCAGCACTCCGACTGCCTTCGCAAATCGACCGTCACCCTTGTCCTTTCTTTGATTAGGAAGTAATTGTTTCCATCCATGCAATTATTGTTGAAGAATCAATAAATAATCAAGTTTATATGGTCTTCGTTGAAAAAACGTTTCCAAACACGTATTGAAGGAGATATATATATACACATTAAGCACAAATTATCAAATTAGCATATCTAATCAAGTGATAATGGAGTGATTTGCGCAATCATGGTCTGATTGGAACATAATTGGAAGCTGATTGTGCACTCACCACTTTCCTTATTTAGTCTTAGCCGTTGCGTTATATATTCTTTCCTTTAATTTTATTATTTTTTCTTTCTATAATGGTGTAAAGTCATCATTATAATATACACAAAACATAATAAAAACAACAAGGGACAATGTCCCCATTTACGACCACTCTTCTCTCATTTCATCCCTAACCTTTTTATTTATTGTTTCTTTAATTTCTAAACACACCAAGTTACATAAAAACCCACAATTATTTTATATATCACACATGGTATGGTTGGCACATGGTCGTGGTTGGACGTTTTTGCGTGGATGCGTGTGTTTGTTTTTAATTCAAGATCCAGATAATGATCTCAAATCTCTCTTTATATATATATATACATGTGGAATCATTAGGATGAGAATGAGATACGGGTATCAAATATCATATATGTTTCCATGCTCAAACTTGAACGAGATCCATAATGAATGAGAAAAATTATATAAAAAAATATACGTTTGTTTTTTTAATTTACCTAGTTTTACTAGACAAAAATCAAATTATAACACTTTATTTGGAGTAAAAAAGTATTTAAATTAATTTCCATGGCTATAATATACTTTTCATATCCATCAAATGTCTTATTTATCCAAATTAAAGTAGATTAGATTAGGGATCGGCAAAATGTTCGGTTTGGGTTAATCGGTTACGGTTAATTCAGATTCAGTTATTTCGGGTTTTGAAAATTCATAACCAAAAGGTTATTTAATTATATTCAGTTCGGTCGGTTTGGTTTCAGTTATTTCGGATTTTAAGAATTTATAACCAATCGGTTATTTGATTTTATCTACTTAAAATTATAACCAAAAAAAAAATCGGTTTCTTTTGATTCGGTTATAATATTTATAAAATTTTAAATATTAATTAAACAAATATATGTTGTGCATTGTTATGCAGAACACCCTTCAAATTTAGTAGCGTTTTGATAAATATTTCATGATTAATCTAAAATATTCACCATAAATATATTTAAAATAAAAATTTGGAGTTTGGCGATCAGGGAGTGTACCGTCTAATTGCTGATTGGTGTATGTTATTCAGATTCGATATGCTGATATGATGTGTCATATCATTCGAAACTTGTCGGACATGCATGTTTTTTTTGTCGAGATATTCCTGCATTATCTTATTAATAATTAGTTGGACAATCCATATTGGACTGCTATACCTTCAGTTTTCCTTTTTTATTTCTGACCCAAAAAGTGTGAAAGAAAAAAAAATAGTTCATGAACATATTACAATTTTGGTCTTTAAAAGGCTTATTAGGAAATGTTTGTTTCTTTTATATATTTTTTTAATCGAAAATTTATCGAACTTTTGACCCAACTTTATTTTCTATATCCAAATAGAGAATTACATAACACAATCTCTCGGCTTACAAACCTGTATACTCTTTTTACTTTGAAAAATATCTTTTTTTTTAGTATATTACAATTATAATTTTTCAAAAAAAAAAGGGTGACAACACTTCCTCTCGAAAACCGACAAGAACATGTACGGGGCAGTTGGGCGTGGTCCGATGATCATGTGCGAGGCATGGAGTTTGGGGACTCTGGCACCTGAAAGCATTTACTAATTTAGGTCAGCCCGTTCTACAATTGAGCGTAAAGAAAATGAGTATAAGGGCACAAATGTCAATATCATGATACTCAAATTTATATGACTTAAGGGTAAGAAAATATGCAAAACTAGTGTGGAGAGAGGAATATTCACCCAGATTTTTCTGTTATGCCATTATATATAATTGGATCAAAAATACGGCGAATTTATAAATTATTAAAAGAAATTACCAATATTAGGAGACTTTTTATATTTTGATTCACAAGATAATGTTTATTATTTTATATGTTCTCAAAACACGTCTAATTAAATTAACTAACCTTCCGTCCAAAAGTCCGAACTTCCATTCAAAACATATATATGTGTGTATATATATATAGTGATTAGACAAACCAATGTCTTTGGCGTGCGAATTTGATAACGGGAGAGGCGTATCGCTTTCACATTTATTGGTTTGCGTCTGCTTCTTTCAACAAAGGTGGCCTTCTCGCCTTCTTCCACAAACGCGGTTTTACATTTTTATCTTTATACCGATGGAAACAGTATAATCTAATATGGAATAAAAACACATGTTTTCGGTGCGAGGAAATCCACATTATATATATTCCACTTGTTTTTGTTACGGACCAATACATATATGGTTGAAGAAGTGATAACTATTAACATTTTATTATAAAAAAGACTATACTAGATTAAAAAAAAATATTCATATTAATTTCTAAATGAAATTTATTTCTGAAATAAGCTATGTTGAATACCGTTTCCCTAAGGGAAAAACAATAACGTTATCGATTTTGGTATCTACAAATTCTTATTTTACTCCTTGTGTTTTTTTTCTTCTTCCAAATTTCCAGATAAAGAAGAAAAATATCTAAAATATAAAAAAATTGTTTTGGAAAATATATTTTGTTCGCAATATATTTTTTTTATAAATTATCTAAAATACTTTTATTTTTTTTGTTTATTAACAAATATTCGAATTTTATAAAAGAGTTTAAAAATAAAAAATCAATTTACTATCTCTCCCGTTTATTTCATTCATTTCACATATTTTTTCATATCTCACATGCTTTTTCTACTTCATATTCTTTAGAGTGTTTATATCTAGTATTTATATTTCTTCTAATAGTCTATTTTACAAAGATAAAAAAAATAAATATTGATGTAAAATATTTAATATTAAATTGATTTACTTTTCTATATTTTCTCGTGCATTATCTTCTCCATATATAGGTTATTTTTTTTTAAATAACGACAGTCGAGGACATGGCAAGCTAGGATCCGCATTTAAGAATTTTTCTTCTGAGATTTTTATATTTTTTTTAATAAATGCAGGCATGTCCTGAGTCATGGCCTGCATATCCTCTCATGCTTTATGAAAAAAAAAATCAAAACAAAAAACATTAGAGAATGTTTTTCAATTTGTTTTCGTAACGGCAAGTTAGGAGAAGTTCATCTTCGTATGTTTATCTTCACCTGCCTTTATGATTTTTTTTTTTATAAAGAATTCCGCCTTTACTATTTTGATACAAATGTTGATTTTAAAATCTTAAATTAAAGTTAGTTTCGAAATTTTGTATGATTATTCTATTTTTACGGATAAGAACGACCACACATCACTATATATACATGAATCGTTATCCTTTGTTTTTACATAGTCTAATCCGATACTTGAATAATTTATGATATACCGATTTAATTGTGTGGTGCTTTTATTTTCAAAACATTCACACGATCAAATCAACACAATATAAGATTACAAATGTATTACGCTAATAATGGTGGTCACAATCTAAGATTATAATATCCTTGGTTTTTGCAATAGAATAGATAGATAAAGAGAATGGAAGTAACGCAAAGAAATAGGTTTATTTAAAAAAAAAGATGATAAAACAAGAGAATTAGATAAATAAATATGTTTAATGATATTATATTATTTAGAAAAATGATATAATTTTAGCAAACAAACAATAAATGGTCATGTACCGTTTAACATTTAAAGTTTGACATGTTTCAACCATATAATCTATAAATAAGAGAGAGAACACATGGACGAATGCACAAAACAAGAGTAACTCAACTCTCTCATGAACCATTCAAAATATATATATCCTTTCAAAATATCTTAGTTATGAAAATTAAAATAAATCAGATATTTCAGCTTCTATCGACGGCGTTTTACATTTTCATGATTCGTACGTACGTTTTTAAGAGGAAAATGAAAGAGATCCTATAGAAAAATTATATAACAATTGAAATAGAAATTAAATTATTGCTGAGGAAAAAAAATACTCGAAGAAAACTTGTTTTATGTTTCGAAAAGGCAAGTATTTAATGTCTTTGATCCTCTTTCTTTACACGTAATGACAGACATTTTTGTTTTATTTTGATTTTTTTTCCCCTCATGCCAAATCAATTTAGGTGGTTTGTCTCGTCATCTTCTAAACAAACACCGATAAATAATATATATATATATATATATATCGGTGCGACGAAACCAAACTGTTGCAGAGTACACTTGTTTTATTACGAATCACGGGCCACCCACCCTCACGCTTCATCATCTTTTGTGATAAATTAATAAAAAAATAATAATAATTTCCATTTATAAGAGTTGATATGTTTGACCCATATATATAGCATCTATAAATAGGGAGAGTAATGCATGAACACAACAAAAGTCAGTCAGCGAATAGTGATTAACAACTCTCCCCTAAACAACTTCCTCTGTGTTTTTTCTTGCAAATACACAATGCGAGAAGAAGATCCGGGTTCCATCCGCTTCAATATTCCTTCCTTAAGGTTCCATCTTGTTTATATATATACATATATATGTATATATCATGTCCATGGACAGCTTCTGAGCATGTAAAACCGTCATATGGTCATCATCTTCATCACTGATGATGACACGATCTAAATCTATATATATATACTCTCCTTTAACCTAATTTTGGTTTCTTCCTGAACTTTTTTTTTTCTTCCTGAACTTTTATGTATGAATATGAACATGTTTCATGCAGTGATGGAGAGAAAGGTGACAAATATGGGGACGGAGGGAAGACTAATACGTACCCTTTTGCCAGTGCCCTAAGTATGGCTGGTGGTGATGGAGAAAACAGCTATGCTTGCAACTCTCTTCTTCAGGTACATATATAATAAAATAATCCTCGACTATGTGATCATACGTGACACTAAATATTCCTTCATTATTCTGTATGTTATCAGAGCTTACCAGAAATCAGAACCAGAAAATTTTATAATCCAAGGCAATAGTTTTATACTATGGAATATTTAATTGGGACATTTAATAATTTTATTTAAAATTTATAAAGAAATCATTTTTTTTTTAAATTTAGCAAATGGGGGCATGTGACCCCTTACATTTGCAAGTGGGTCCGCCACTGCAAAGGATTGAAAGAGAATATTCCTTCATTCTTTCGTATGGTATTAGAGAATACGACTGTTTTCATGTGGGTTTGGCAGAGAAAAGTTATAGAGAAAGCAAGATCGGTCCGGGTGAAGAGCACCAAAGAGATGTTAATCGGATTAGATTTTCCGCCGTGCGTCAAAGTGGCCGACTTGGGTTGCTCCTCGGGGCAAAACACGTTCCTGGTTATGTCCGAAATTGTAAACACCGTCAATGCGTTGTGCCAAGAAAGGGGTCGAGACCCACCAGAAGTCGACTGTTGCCTGAACGATCTCCCCGACAACGATTTCAACACGACCTTCAAGTTTGCACGTTTCTTCCGCAAAACGGGCTCGTGCTTTGTTTCGGGAGTGCCGGGTTCCTTCTATTCGAGGCTCTTCCCCAGCAAGAGTCTTCATTTTGTGCATTCCTCTTACAGTCTTCATTGGCTCTCCGAGGTTGGTTACGATAATATATAAGTGCATCATGTTCTAAACGTAACACAGTGAGAGATATCTTTGAAATATTTATGGAATTTCCAATGGTAACCTCGTATAAAAATACTAATAATATAAAGGTCATATATATAAACCCCAGAATTATTCGTTTTAATATTTCAGGTTCCGCGAGGGCTGGAGAGTAATAAGGGGAGTGTGTTTATGACAAGTTATAGCCCTCGGACTGTATACGAGGCTTACTTAAATCAGTTCAGGAAAGATTTCTCCTTGTTTCTAAGGTTACGGTCCGAAGAGATGGCATGTGATGGACGCATGGTTCTCACGTTAATCGGAAGAAACGCTCGTGATCCATTATACAGAGACTGCTGCCACTTCTGGACTTTGCTATCCAAATCCCTTCTCGATTTAGTCCACGAGGTACGTACCAAATTAATTATGCACGAATAAAGAGATCGATCCTTTCTCGCGTAGAATAAACTAATGTGTATGATGACTAATGTGACAGGGAATTGTGAGAGAGGAAGAGGTGGATTCATTCAACATGCCGTTTTACGATCCGGACGAAGGAGAAGTAAAGGAGATCATCCGTAACGAGGGCTCCTTCGAAATCGACGAATTAGAAACGCATGAATACAATTTGGGGGATAGTCGTGACGAAGGGGATTATATGTTAGGGAGATATAAGAGCGGAGAAAGAGAGGCTAACTACATTAGGGCAGTAAGCGAACCGATGCTGGTCGCTCACTTTGGACCAGACATTACAGACACACTGTTCACGAAGTACGCACATCATGTCTCTCGGCACTCCGACTGCCTTCACAAATCGACCGTCAACCTTGTCGTCTCCTTGATCAAGAAATAATTGCCTTCATCCATGCAGATGTTTTCTTCTTCATGTGGTTGCAATCGTAGCTTTAAGTTCATATACAGTCTCTTTTTTGTTGTTGGTAATTTCGAGTCTAAGGCTTGGACCTTTGTGTCTCTGTTAGATGAGATACAGATATAAACACGATATATATATCTCGATGCTCAGATCAATATGAACTTTTAATACAGACCCATGAATGTAATAATAAAAGCCCATATTGTATGACGTTATGCGTAATGTGCCTCTCAAAAACTTTATTGTATACCAATAATATGGGCCTGACTTGCTATACATTTGGCCGTCGGTCAACCCCGATATGGTCAAGGAACGAGTCAATCCTAGCCTCGCCTTTGGTCCACTTTCTGCGAAATAGTTGTGAAAGCACGGTTTTGAAAATATCATTTTTGTTCTGTGGTATAAGGAATTTTCGTGAGAAAATAATAAAAAAAAGCCCTTGGAAAAATTCCTGGTAGAAGAGTTGACCAGTTGACTTTGCTGTTCTTGAAGACTTTGTTGAGATGCTTTCGTCTCTCACGTTCTCTTCTCCTTCCTTTGGTGAAACTTAGATCTTCGAGGTTCAGATCCTGCCAGGGCCCCCCAAGCTGTTGTTGTAAGTGTCTCTCTCCTCCATTTTCTCGAGAAAATCCAACTGACCATTTTCCATCAAAGTTTGACCCTTTCACACCGTCACACGCAGAATCTCATGGTGGATTGATGACGACTTTCCTTCCTTACAGGTCGGAGCCATGGTGGATGCTGTGGTTAACGTGTTTCTGGAAAAACTGTTGAGCAGCCTCGAAGACAGAGGCAGAGCCGTGACGGAATTCCATTCGCAGCTCCAACATCTGCAGGACCAGTTGCAGTATATGCAATGTTTTCTCAGAGACGCAGAGAGACAGAAGAGGAAGAACCAGGTCTTACACAGACTCGTCTCCGATCTTCGAGAATTGGTCTACGAAGCCGAAGACATCCTGTCCGATTGCCAAATTGGCGAAGGCTACGAAAATAACGAGCAGAGATTCTCAAACGGGTGGCTCTCGCAGGTCTCCCCTTCGAGGATTTCGTTCCTGTACAGGAAAGGCAGACGGCTGAGAGAGATCAACGAGAAAATTAAGGGGATAAACACAAGTGCAGAGCCTTATCTAAGATCGAGCATGCCTATCAATGTCGGAGTGGACAGCATGGACCGATGGAGTTCTCCGGTGTATGATCATACCCAAGTGGTCGGTTTGGAAGGGGACAAAAGGAAGATCAAAGACTGGCTCTTTCGGTCCGACGAGAAAGAGCTCCTGATGATTGCCTTTGTCGGCATGGGAGGTCTGGGCAAAACCACGATTGCCCAGGAAGTGTTCAACGACAAAGAGATAGAAAACCGGTTCGAAAGGAGAATCTGGGTGTCTGTTTCCCAGACTTTCACTGAAGAACAGATCATGAGAAGCATACTGAGGAATCTAGGCGATGCAAGCGTGGGAGATGATCTTGGAACGCTTCTCCGAAAAATCCAGCAGTATCTGCTGGGGAAGAGGTATTTGATCGTGATGGACGATGTGTGGGACAAGAACTTAAACTGGTGGGACAAAATCTACCAAGGACTGCCCAAAAATCAGGGTGGGAGCGTGATTGTGACCACGAGGCTGGAGTCTGTCGCGGCCAGGGTCCAAGCCAGAGACAAGACTCACCGTCCGGAGCTCCTTAGCCCCAAAAACAGCTGGTTGCTTTTCTGCAAAGTTGCATTTGCCGCAACGGGTGGGGACTGCGACCGGCCTGAGCTGGAGGAAGTGGGGAAGGAGGTTGTGAAGAAGTGCAAAGGCCTTCCTCTAACAATCAAGGCAGTCGGAGGAATTCTCCTGTGCAAAGAACCCGTGCATCGAGAATGGGAGAGAATCGCCGAGAATTTTCAGGACGAACTGGCGGAAAACACTTCCGACTCTCACAACGTGATGGCTTCGTTGCAACTAAGTTACGACGAGCTCCCTGCCCACCTCAAGCCCTGTTTCCTCAGCCTCTCGCTCTATCCCGAGGACTGTGTCATACCGAAGCAGCAACTGGTCAACTGGTGGATGGGTGAAGGATTTTTCCCGCTGAGAAACCAAAGATCCACAACCGAAGCTGCGGAAGATTGCTTCTCGGGTCTCACAAACCGGTGTCTGATAGAAGCCGTTGACAAAACCTACAGCGGAACCATCCTCACTTGCAAGATTCATGATTTGGTTCGTGATCTGGTGATCAAGATAGCTGATGATGATGCTTTCTACAACACGAAAGGCGTTAATTCTCGTCATGTCGGGATTTCTGCAAACTTGGATGAGAAGCATATCAAAACGAATCATAAACTGAGAAGCATAGTGTCAACAACTAAGACTGGTGAGGTGAACAAGCTCGATTCGGATTTGGCTAAGAAATTCACCGAATGCAGGTATCTCCGAGTTCTCGACATCTCCAAGTCCATCTTCGAATCTCCTATATCCGACATTCTCGACAGAATTGATAGTCTTCAGCACCTGACCTACCTTAGCTTGAGCAACACACATCCGCTGATTCAGCTTCCCCAATCGATGGAAGATCTGCATAACCTTCAGATTCTGGATGTGAGTTACTGTCAGAATCTGAAACATCTTCAACCCTGGATCGTGTCCTTTAAGAAACTCCGTGTCCTAGACATGACAAATTGCGGTTCATTAGACTGCTGTCCCAAGGGAATCGGAAATCTCTCCGACCTCGAAGTGCTTTTAGGGTTTAAGCCAGCAAGATCAAACCACGGCTGCAGGATCAGTGAGCTGAAAAATCTCACAAACCTTAGAAAACTCAGTTTGGTTATGACTCGGGGCGATCAAATCAGGGAAGACGAATGCGATTGTCTGATTAACCTAGGCAAACTTCGGTTCATCACGATCAATTGCTACGACGCCTACGGTGACGAACTCATCACCGGAGTAGAGACTCTGTATCCTCCGCGACAGCTCTACGAGCTCTCTCTGCAATTCTATCCGGGAACCACAAGCCCTTCGTGGCTGAACCCTAATTCACTTCCCATGCTGAGGTATCTATCGATATGTTCAGGGAATTTGGCGAAAATGCACGAGAAATTCTGGGGAATAGGGAATGGTGGAACTCACTGGAGCATCGAGGGTTTGATGCTGAGTTCGCTGTCGGAACTGGAAATGGACTGGGAGGTGGTCCGGCGAGCGATGCCTGAACTGAGGACGGTGAATGCAAGCTGGTGTCCAGAGTTGGAGAGTTTTCCCATCGAAGACGTCGGATTCAGAGGAGGTGTATGGATGAAGACTGCACCTCGCAGGAGCTGAAGAATGTGAGCAAATAAATCAGTTCGAGGAATCAGATTCATTATAAACGATTTCATTTTTATATTTAAACATCATGACAAATGATTGTAACCAAGTTGTACCATTTATTTTTTTTCCAGACTGCAAATCATAGTTTTCTCTCGATGTATACAATAAGATTAAACCCGAAGTTTAGCTGAGAGATGCAGAAAACAAGAGCCCTTTTATGGGTTCTTTCTTTACCCAAATTTCTTCCTTTTCAGCTGCTCCTATATTTCCGTGAGACACCCGCGTCAGAGAGCATATCCCACTCCTGCAAAATAGCTAGTAACGTTAATCATATCCCGCCTTACATTTTCCAGAATTGAGGAATGAATTCACGGGCATAAGGCCGGTACTCACTTGTAGCTTCCCCTTTGAGCCACCGATGGCGAGCAAGAAGGAACTGTCTGCACAGAAGGATATTGAGAAAACAGCTCCCTGGTGATATCAGAGTCAGATCACGAACAAGATGTTAGGACAGTTCCATGAAGCGGACAGAATAATATATTTGTTTGATACCTTACAACTTTCGGATTCTGAGAAGCAATGTAAGAAGGCTGGTTGTTAGAGATATCCCAAAGTTTTACCATTTTATCCATCGATCCGGTAGCAATAAGCTGCAAGTATGATACAAATGTTAAGCAAAACTGTCACTGATACAGTGAAAGGTACCATATTCGCTGAACAAGCAAAGGGGGAGAGCCCCATACATTAGGTGCCGAAAGATTGTATGAGACAGAGGTGACTTCTTTGCCATGCGTGTAGATAGTGAAACTCGGTTTTAAACCAAAACCATGGTCCTGAGCCTTTTAATGTAACACTAATATTGAAGATTGTGGAGAGCTCTGGAGATAACTCCAGTCACTACATGTAACCAACATGTTTACAGCATATTGTCATGGAGTTAGGTCTAATTCTGGACAGTGACAGTATGCTTGCCTGATGCAGAGAAACAAAACAGAAGGAGCCGACATACCTTCATCCTCGTCATCGTAATTATCCACGTCAAGTTCCTTCAGCCCATCAGCAACATCATCAACATCCATGGAAGAAGAGTTCTTACCGCCACGGCTAACACCTGAGCAACTTCATCTCCGGAATTTTCAGCTTCGCCATCTACACATACTTCTTCTTCTTCATCATCATTACTCTTAGCATCGTCGCCAGCAAAATACGGATAAATGTCAACAAATTGAACCACATCTAAGATTAATTGAAACGAAACAAGAATGAAAACAGGGGAATTCGGGAAGAGCTTAAAAAAAAACCTTCGATCAAAAGCGCCGTTCTTTATGAGCTCTTCGATTTCTTCCTTGGAAGGAGGATCAGCAACAGCAGGCACAGCCCTCGAGGCCCTTTCGGGACCCATGACACTGAGATTATCATTCTGCAGGAACTATAACATTGTAATTTCCCCAAAACCAAATCGACCAAGAACCCAAAAAAAAAAACTAGAGCATGGAGATTACCCACGCGAACCAACAGGAATCATCGGAAAGATATGATTAGAGACGTCGTTGAACAAGCGAACGAGAGAGTGAGATGAAAGCGTGAATATCTCGAGGAATCGAACACAGGAGCGGGATACAATGAATCCAAATGATTAGCAATTTACCTGATGACTGATGAAGGAGCAAAGATTGCACAACAAGGAACAAGCACGGGGTTTTTCCTGGCCGGCAACCTAAACTCAAATCCACCGAATTTTGCCGGAAACAAACGTTGTGCCTACAAAACGGCGCCGTTCAGAATTCAGATCATGCTTAGCTAGTTGGGTCGAACTTTCACTGGATGGGCTAACAAAACATTTTGTTTGGGCTTAGAAAATTCGCCTAATTAAATGCGGGTCGGGTATCCTTAATGACGAATATAATAAAATTCGTTATAATAATACACGTCGCATCATTTTGAGTGGACCGACGATTTTCGCACGTGAGGACATGATACGATATTTTTCTATAAATGATGTGTACGCATATGTATGTATGGATATGTATATGGATATGGATATGATACGTTTTCTTAGTACATGCAGTGCCCAAAAAATAACCGGAACCGTAAGCCAGTGGTATTATTTATATGTGAAAAAATTACGAACTGAAGATGTTTGGGAGATTAGGAGGATTAATAATCATGTTTATCGTTGAAGTGTTGTGGTTTGAATGCATGGATTGGTGAGCTTTCCTCGATTTCACGTGGCTTTAGTTTCTTTGTTTTTTTTTTTTTCAAACCAGGAAATTCATCCGGGCCTTCGGCCCAACCTACATCTCTCTGGGCCCGGGAGCAGCCTTTGAACATACAGCCTTTGGCTATGCCTCTCCCTCTCTGCATGCCTGGATTCGAACCCCTGACCTGGAGGAGGAACACCGTCACTTCCAGTCCAGGTACCACTCGACCGGGTTTCTTTGTTTTTTTTTTGGGTGGATTTTATGTATATTTCAATTTGATGCATCATTTCACGATTATAGATTCTCATGGATATTTATAAGTTATTGAAAAGTTACCCCTCATAATATTTTGAATTTGAGGTGTATTGCCGATCACATTAATTATATCTTCTAATTGTGTTTCGATTTGGATCTATTTTTTATAATCCGGAGTATTGGGGGCCTTTCTATAATTATTAAAAGCCATGGGTCAGGGCTGAGAAAAGTTTTACGAGTTGGGCCTCAGAATTTTTGAAAAAGTTAGCCCAGGAAGAACCTTGATGTTTCGAAACGGTGACGTTTCGCTAGCACTGTCGCAAGCCTCTGGAATGGAAACCCTGGGGCCGGGGCACGAGACGGGCCAGACGGCGATGGACGACGACGACGAATCTCTCCCTTTTTTTTCTTTTTCGAATCAAAGGCGACGAATCTTTTTCCAACGGTTTTTCGGCTTATTATTTCTGTGACTGTAAGCAATCACGATTCATTTGAATCCATTCTCTGAATGTGTGAATTGTGAAATACTCTCCCATGGCGGCGCAGTGGCGGTGGTGGCCGTGGGAGAACGCCACCGTCACTGCCGTTCATTCCCTTGAAGTCGCCCGGACGATATTCAAAGGTCCGTTTCTAATCCTCAACCGTAGAGCTATTCGGTTTGATTTGACCCAGCGATTTGGCGATTTAGTTGGTTGCTTGTCTGATTGATTGAACAGTGAACGACGGTAGAGCTATTGTTGACGGAATTTAGCATATTTTTTCATAATACTTGTATCAATGTTCCAGATAATATCATGGACGGATAATCTATATGACATCGTTGTAACTGGACGTCTTTCTCTGGTAAAATCTTAAATTCTCGAGATTGGTTTGTGTAATTTGATCGACATACCTTCCCTCTCCTCCTTTTCAGCATTGACCAAGCCCTAATGGGATTCCGAGATTGCATTGACAAGTGGGTTTGGACGCCGCTCAGATATTTTTGGATACACATTCTTACATTATGGCACAACACAGTAAGTGCTTTTAGAATAGCTTTGTCTGTATATATCAGATTCGAGACAAAGGGATCGCACATTTCTACTATGTGCTTAATAACCTGGTCAGGAAGGAAAGGATCTCATCTGAGACTTCTTTAGGCTTCTCCTGCTGA